TGCACGTTATTTCAGGAGGCAGAGTAAAAGGGAATGTATGCTCCTGTGCATCTCTTCAGAGCTTCATACTCCTGTCCATTTCATTGCAGATCTTCAGCTTATACAGCCTTTGTGTCCGTCCTTCATCTTCATACTTCCGTTCATTTAATTTCTGATCTTCATATTGTCTATACTCTTAATGATGCTCATTCGTATGTATTTGTTAGTAGTACAAAGGGAGTGGAGGGGAGGGTGGAGGGTGAGGGATAGAAGGCGGAGTTCTCTAGGAGTATGGGGCAGGGGAGGTAGGGGCAACGGGAAGGAAAGAAATATGTGGAGGGCAGGATAGAGTGACATGCAAGAGCAGGGGAAAAATGTATGACGGGTCTCACAGATTTTTAAATATTCACCGCTGTGAGTGGCCACCCCTACAGACCGGACAGGACCGGTTCGGGTGTGGGCTGTGGAGGCACCACATCCCCAATTTTCGCAGTCACAGTTGCTGCATCGAATGGCATGGCGCAGAAAGATGTCACAGGCTACGTGGCTCGTACATGCTAGGAACACAGAGGCACGTCGACCGCAATTATAGAGGCATTGTCGTTCCAGCCCGTCTACAAATTGGACATGACATGTCGGGGTGCCGTACATGAGTACAGTACTGACTGTCATCGTGCGTATGGAAGCAAAAACTCGCATGGACTATACCTTCATAATCCTCACGGCACAAGGCATGTGAACCACATGCTTGTTGAATCTCCGGCGGGTCATCACAAAACGGCATGGAACATCTTTCTTGGGCTTCCTCAGTATGTATTCCTTCTCTGTGGGCAGACAACGACAGGGAGGATCGGTCCAATACAAGGGCATTGAGCTGCTGCAGGATATGATCCGGAACAGCCTGCCCTGGTGGTGATAAACTATGAGCACATCGCTCTGTCGGTGGCTCATATGGAAGTCTATTTTCCTCCTCGGACTGCTGTGTTCGCCGTTCGTCTGGCAAGAAAGAGGGAGATCCATCAGCGGTTGCCGTAGGTGTATGACCAATGCCGCATGTGGGACATGCTAGGAGAGGATGTGGAGGGTGATGGCACCGGGGATAGTCCACGCAGTAAAGACACATACTTTCTATGACAGCTTCCTGGAAGCATTGACGACACATGGCATGTTGCTGACATGTCATTAGTATGGAAGGCTGACGTGCACAGTTATTTAAGCATGGAAGGTCAAGGCCACAACGGCATGCTGGGCAAGTAATCAGGGGGTGGGGGGCATGAGCACAGGACTGGGGATCACAATTTTCATGTGAGAGGCTAGCAGCGACCATTCCTTCATAGTGTTCGGAGCAGAGGCTATGTCGTGTACATGCCAACTGAAGTGTACCTGTGCGACGACACATCGGGAGGGCACAGCCATCATCCTGTGGAGAGTTCCTTTCACTGTTTGTGGTAGAATCAGCAGGATTGCTCTCCGGGGGTTGCAGTGCTTGCAAATGCTCATGGACATACTGTTCCTGATGGATGAGCCAGACTGAGTGACCCTCCAGCATTTGGTGATAGAAAGAGTTAATATTTCCCACTGTGTGCACCCTACCGCCATTGTCCCATAGGGTCCATGAACTATCTGCAAAGGTAAGTCTTAGAGCACTGAAGTGACCTGGACGATATAAGATATATGCCCGAATATTCGGATCTGTGCCTGGCTCGTGGTTTTGCTGAGCAGGTTGGAATTGCAGTCGCCTACCCATAAATGCCATAGCCAGGACTTCTATGTTCACCCCAAGCGCAGCGCTGTCGTCGTCTGGGCAGATGGGACCGTGCTCTTCTTCTATCCAGCGAACAACGTCTGCGAAATCAGCAACAGTATAAGGATTACAATTGTGAGCAAGGAGACATACCTTAATGGCATAGTACGCACAACGCCCTCGCTGTAGCGCTATGACATTGTCTGATTCCGCAGGTTGCGTGGGGGATCCGTTTACGGCAGGGGGGTCCTCGTTCAATTCTGCAGGTTACTTGCACATATTATACATATGTTACAGTATACACACATCATCAAACACAACTGCCCGGTAAACCATAGGCAGAGAGGGAGAAGAGGACAACAAACAAGGAGCTGTGACAAACTCATCGGAGTTTCACCTACTTCATAGCCCATAAAGGAATGGAGGGCGAAAGGCAACTTACCTGAGACAGAAGACTCCTCCAGCAAGAAGGCACCGACCCAACCCTCCAAAGGTCCGAAAGAACTTGGGGAGCCTTCTGCATCTGCCCACAAAACCACAAACTCAATTACACAAAGACAACGCAAGCACGAGATCACTGGACCTACTTTCATCCCAAACTACCCATTCACATCCCTACCAAAGGGATGGAAGGTAAACGACCACTTACCTATGACATGTCTGTGTGTGTGTGTGTGTGTGTGTGTGTGTGTGTGTGTGTGTGTGTGTGTGTGTGTGTGTGTGTGTGTCTGTGCACATTCCCATTCTTGTGCGCTATCATCACCACTCGTCCCTCTGTCGTAGCTGGCAGTGTCCCGCAGTCTGCTAGAGAAGTATCTGGCTTGTCTCTGAAAACGCATAAATATCTTTGCCATTACACTATTTTGATTAGTCTTTAGTACTCTTTACTTTGTTATTTATTCTAATAACTGCGGTCTATCCAATCAATCAATAAATCTCCGTTTGACAGGATCAATAATCAATGGATTACTGTGTTAGAGGAATGGCATGAATCAGTCATTCATTGACTCATTACAGTCCAGTGCCGTACCCCCGTTCACCGTTCACAGGGTCCGTGAACGAAGTCCCGTGATCGGTTGTACTTCACATAGAGCAGGAACGTTTTTTTTTTTTTTTTTTTTTTTTTTTTTGGTAGAAGGATGGGGGTCATCGGAGGGTATACCCCCATAATTTTTTCATTTTCTTTTTTCACGAATACATATTTTTCTACTTAAAAAAAATCACAGGACCAACCGAAATAAGCATTTTTGTTTGTTGTTTTGCAGGTTATTTCGTTGTTGTTTTTTTTTTCCCAAACGTCATCACGATGTGGGGCTTGTGGCGACGGTAGCGGGGTGAGCCGGAAAAAAAAAAAAAAAAAAAAAAAAAAAAAAAAAAAAAACACTGCGCTTTCATGGTTTGGCCATTCACGGGCGCAGGGGCATATGACCGGCCGGTCACGTTCACGGTGATGGCACTCTCACAGCCATTAGTTGACTCGTTACACTACCCTAAACGGCCACTACATCGCCCAGGAAAAATTGAGGTTACACATACATCCAACCCGAAAATTTCGGAGGGGCAGGGGCCTACTGGACCAAAAGAAAGGCTGGCAGGCTGTGGCAGCGCCAGCCATTTGACAAAGAAAAAGCACCGCGCTGGCTTTCACGCAAACAGCCTGGTATGTACTGGTGGTTTATACACTCTCTACAGACACTGATAGCAGCAGAATGGGTCTTTATCTGAATAAGAAAACTTCATCCTAGCAAACCGCAGCTGAGAAGTTGAATCAGAGCTGGCGTGCTCCCGCTCCTTGCCAATGGGCATCCGTCTCTGAAACCTTCAGTCTTCAGTACTCTAAATACCTATGGGATCCTGTACCGCCCACTCCTGAACTACGCCCACCCAGTGATCCCCAGGCCTTCCCCTCTGCATAACCTTCCTAACGTGCTGTTTGTTTCCTCTACATGTTCGCTGAGCTCCCCCAGGCCTTCATTACCTCTCCCAATCAGCAATCTCCAAACCTCACCTCCCCCATTCGGCAGCCTCAGTCCTGCCCAGTGGCCCTTTACTCGCCCCTCTTTACCTAGTACCACCTAGTACCCACTTTGAATCTCTCAACCACTTGCTGTCAGCTCTGTACCAGAAGTCTCACCCACCACAATTGCCCTCCACAGATCAAATGGACCCCGTCTACATCAGGCTCTGTTATCCTACGATTCCTACCTCTGTCAGGCTCTGTGATGCCACTTTGCAGCCTTCTTTCAAGCTCTCACTCCCTCATTCAAGTTGTATTGAGTGGTCCAGAGCGGCAAGTCAGTGCTTCACTCTATTCCGGCAGACCACTGGCTGAGAGACTACGCTGTTGGGACCCCTCCAAGATTAAGAACTAAATCTTGGCAATACTCTCTGAGGCTCCTGTAGTAGCTCAAGCAAAGCCGGGTAATGCTCCCTGGACACCACATTGACCATGATTGATGTAATTCTTTGAAGTTTGAACTGATTCTTGTTATAAGGGACGCTGGACCCGGTTAGCAGCAGGTGAAGCTCCCCACCAATAGACTGGAGTCATCCACCCAGAGGCCTTGATCCTGGTGGTTCTCATACCACCACAGGATCGCAGGGGTCCACAGGATGTTAAATGTGAAAGAAGAAAATAAAATAAAAGAACAACTCCCGGCTAAATCCGAAAATTTCGGAGGATTTCGTAACATGAAATTAATGTGTTGCTTTAAAAAAAAAAAAAAAAAAAAAAAAAAAAAAAAAAAAAAAATTGGAGGCTCGGGGAAACCGGGCCAAAATGGCTGGCGGCATCAGCCAAAATATAAACAACAACCTCGCACTGGCGTTTCGTCAAAGCTTGGTGCGCCAGGACCGGGCGGGTGAATCCACCTTGGCAAAAAGAGGCCTGAATCATGAGTCCGATGTCCTGGTGGTTCTAAATTAATGATACAGGCATTACCCTCATCACACACAAAGATCTTATCCCCTTTTTTTTTCTTTTTTTTTTTTGGGTAAACACGTACCCAGGTAACCCAGCCGTATAGGCAATTGCATTATAGCTAGTCATATCCATATTACACACTGTCAGTTAGTGGCAACACCAGTGCAAACAGCCATAAGGAGCAACATAATAGTCAACACAGTTCTGCCAGCCCCATGGCAATTGGTGGCCCCATGACCCTGCAGACAAAGGACTAGGTATGGCCCCCATTACCAAAGGAATAGGTATATAGGCCCCATTACCAAAGGAATAGGTATATAGGCCCCATTACCAAAGGAATAGGTATATAGGCCCCATTACGAAAGGAATAGGTATAGGGGGGCCCATTACCGCATGGGAGAGGCGGCATTGATGCCTGCAGCGTTAGGAGTCATTCCCGCCTCCTGCATAATATTCTCGATTCTGGCGGCTGCGGTGGTGATGGTGGGCCTCATCTCGTAGTGTTCGTTTACGCACTCGGCAACAAGACGGAGCATCTCTCTTGTCATTTCCAATCTGGCAGGCACATCCATTTCGTCTCTGAATGCAGGATCAACTATCTCCTTTAAGTCAAGGGTGCATAAATTGCAAGGTTTAAGGTGTTCTTCCTTGTGCTTAACTAGGGTTATAACACACCTTGTCCTTGGATCGACTATCACAGCCTTTTGGCCTGTCAGCATTTCCAAAACAAGCACTCCAAAAGCGTATACATCATGCTTCCTTGTGGAAATACCCCCGCTGAGGTATTCCGGGGGCATGTAGCCGTTGGTTCCGCAAATGCTGCTCATCACTGCAGTCCTGTGGTCTCCCCTAAACACGTCCTCAATCACTTTGGCCATCCCAAAATCGGCTAAGTATGCCTTCACTGCGGAGCCAGAAGGCCCAGAACCTCTGCTCAACAGGACGTTCGGGCTCTTTACATCCCGATGTATGACTGGCGGGTTGGCACCATAGTGTAGATAATTCAGAGCATGGGCGATCTGCAAGGCTATGGATGCACGCTCTTCTAACCTAAGGTGAGGGAAGCGGCGGCGATCTGGTGCTACCCCAGCCACTCGTGCTTCTCCTCCTCCTCCTCCTCCTAGTCCTATTTCTCCTCCTCCTCCTCTTTCTTCTCCTAGACCTCTTTCTCCTCCTCCTCCTCCTCCTCCTCTTCCTCTTTCTCCTCCTCCTGCTCGTTCTTCTCCTCCTCCTGGACCTCCTCCTCCTCGTCCTACGTCTGCTATTTCTACTTCTCCGCCTCCTCCTCCTGTACCTCCTCCTCCTCCTGGGAGAGATGCTCCTCTGCTTCTTCCTGCTTCTGCTTCTCCTGCTTTCCATGCTTGTCCTTCCTCTACTGCAGGTGCTACTGCTGCTGATCTGTCATCCACCGGGCCTCCGTTTCCTTTCACTTCTGCTGCTGCTCCTTCTCCTGCCCCTGATGCAAATTCTCCAGCAGCTTGTAGACTTGGGTGTGGGCCATAGAGTCGCTCGTACAAGCTGCCACCTTCGATGTAAGGGTATACCAACATGTACTTCCCGTTTGCCTGGCAATATCCAATCAAGTCGCAAAGGTGGGCATGATGCAGCCGGCTGAGGGTGCCCACCTCCGTGCGAAACTGCTTCAAAACCACCTCTTTTGGCTGCCCAGACCTCCTAACCACTGCCCTCTCGTCCATAACCTTGACTGCGATCTGTTTCACATTCTTTGTTCCCTTTGCCACTGCGCTGTTCTGCTGTGCCAAGTGTCTCCGACTTCCTCCCACTTCGCCTTGACCTTCTTCACCCTTCACTTCTAACGTTCCCCTATACACAATTCCATAACCACCCGGCTCTCCCACCCGTCGGGACTCGTGGAAGTTAGCTGTGGCCTTGACTAAGTCGGTCCACTTGAACTCCCTCACCTTGTGGATGGGGACGCCATCATTGGACGCTCGAGATCGGTTTCTCATAAAGACCGCAAGCCCTCCGATGGCCACCAGTACAAGCAGTACGAGCCCCACATGAATCCCCAGGGCCAGGGGGGTGTTCATCCCATTTATTCCCGGCTTTCCGCGATTATTATGGAATACAAAAGCTTCCCGAGGAGAAGAAGAGGAGATGGGAGGTACCGGGATCGGACTATCCACCTTCAGGGGGTCCCTCGGCGTGGCATGATTGGCACCGCCGAGGCTCTTGTTGCTCTGCAGGGCTGACCTGTTGATGCGCAGGTGTACTGCTTGTCCGTCGCTCGTACCCAATATTAATAGGTAGCCTTCGCTGCAGTTTGCGATAGCCAGTCCACAGACTCCAGACCCATCCCGAGGATGATACTCAACAACGTTGGTCACTCGCCGACCCAAGCCACACGCAGAGTCAAGCTCTATGCGTCTCACCAGACCGGTGTCCATCTCAGAGACGAAGAGGTTCTGACCGTCGTCAGCCACAACAAGGTCGTACAGCCGCCCAAAAGACACATTGAGAGCGTTAGAGACCCTTCCGGCGACGGTATGGACACTCTTTGACTCGGGATCGAAGGCCCAGACTGCCCCGCCATCCCGATCGACCAAGTACAAACATGCGCCCCCCTGTGGGTCGAAGCTGTACGGCCCGAAGTAGACAGACTGCAAGGAATCGGAATCATTGGCTTCGAAGACTGTGGAGAAGGCGGTTGTCTGATAAGACAGAGGGCGACTGTCGTCGTGAAAGGTGACCGGCCATGAGAAGATTCGCCTAGGGGGCACCCGACCATCCGTGACGTATAAATTCTTCAACGAGGGATCGAACGCGATCGCGGCTGCGTAGTCGACCATCAGCGGGAGGGAGGATCTGTTCCCAGTCTCCGCACTCAGGGCTGTCAGCCAAGATCCCGCCGGCGTGGCGCCATGGTAGCCTGATAAAAATAGCTGTGTTCCAAAAATAGCCGCACCGGTGACGAAGTCCCTGGAGGAAGCACAAGCACTGTCTTCGCAGGTTGTGTTGACAAGACGGGACCCCGTCCCGTTACGTCCCGGCCACCAGGTGCTGATCAAATCACCCTCATCAACGGTGATGTCCAGGCTAGATTGGCGGAAGGAAAGAAGACCTTTGCTCGGCGACCAATCCCCCCCCACCCAGCAGCTCTCGTCGAGGATATAAAAGAACTCCGTGTTATTCGGCGGCAGCAATACGATATTGCGCACGGCAGTCAAGCACCGCATGCCCGGCATGTTAGCAGCAGACTCTGAGACGGAAGACTGTGGATTCGAACCAGTGACGACTCTGATGAGAGCATGGCAGGGGAAAGGAAAGAGGGACTCGTCAAGAATCTTCAGACTGCTGCAAACGTTCAATGACTGAAGGTTCCTGTCCTCTTCTCGAAAGCGTTCAGAGGGGGGTGGATAAGTCTTAGCGACCGGTCGTCTTAGACTGAAGCTATGTGTGGACGACCGATAAACGGGGGATGGGACGAGCAAGACCGGTCGTCGGAGGGCAGTTAGGACGAAGGAAAGCAACAAAAGAGAGGTCGCTGCGGCTGTGATGGTGAGAGCCATTCGAGGACGACCGGTCGTCGGACGGCGATCGCCGTGAGTGGGAGACTGGCAACCTGAGCGATCCATGAAAGCTGAGAGGGTACTCCTCATCGTCGAAGTTGCATACCTCCTCAGTTCGATGCACAGGAGTTTCGCCATACCTTGTTGATGTCCTACCAGGCTATGATTCACCGAAAGCCTTTCCCGTAGTAAGAATCTAAGATGATCTCACCTTTGTTACCAATCACCAGTGCACCACATTAACTCGGGGAAGTCCTCGTGTGCGTATGGTATGACTCGGCGTTGAAAAAGGGGAAACGAAAGGAAAAAGAACCTTGGCTTCCAGAAAGAGGACAAAACGACACGCATATACTCGCACGGACGAATAGGACGAAACGGATCCGCGATGATCTCACCAACCTCCTTAGTTATAACTCTCTCTCTCTCTCTCTCTCTCTCTCTCTGTGTGCGTGGGTGCGTGTGTGTGTGTGCGTGTGTGTGTGTGTGTGTGTGTGAGAGAGAGAGAGAGAGAGGGAGCGAGCGAGCGAGCGAGCGAGCGAGAGAGAGAGAGAGAGAGAGAGAGAGAGAGAGAGAGAATGTTTTTGAGTGCGCTTGTGTGTGCGCGCGCTCTGGCGTGTGTCCGTGTGTGATCTTATATGTCCGCGTGTTTACGTGTTCAGAATCTATCTATCTATCTATCTATCTATCTATCTATCTGTTATCTATCCATCTAACCATCTGTTATCTATCGATCTAACCATCTGTTATCTATCTATCTATCTTCTATCTATCTATCTATACATCACTATCTATCGATGCATCAATCCATCCATTCAGCTTCCACCTTCCGAGCTGTTAACTTTGAAATGGCATAATTTGCATCAACCTAGTAGCCCCCTTCCACCTCTACTCACTAGCTTCCCTAACCGTTTGCAATCCGATTAACCTAGTATCCCCCCCTCCTACCTCCCCTCAACCACCTGACGCATCCCACCCCAACCCCCATCTCTCTCTCTCTCTCTCTCTCTCTCTCTCTCTCTCTCTCTGTGTCTTAGTGTGTGTGTGTGGTGCCCGAGCTCAACCCAGCACCCGGTATCCTCTACGTTTGTCTGAATGAAAAGAGAGCTCTGCTCACGCCTTTCGCAAGTACGGACCTGACCGGTCGCTGACCCCGTTTATGGAAACCTAACACAGGTGCATCATGCCACGCATGCGCTTCGGCTGGATACTTCTCATGGGTCACCGACCAAGAAAAAAGAAAACGGAAAAAAGAGTAGTGACCAAAGGAATGTATCAGAAGAAAGGAAATGGTGTGTGTACTCTATCAAGTCCTCGAATCAGATGATGGAAGTCGATGAGTAAGGGCCTCGCCACACCACTATCGAATTGCATTTTTTTCGATAAGTGTCAGAAATTTTCGATAGTCCGCAATTCGATAGAATCCGCCCCCGTCGCCAAACAGCACTATCGAATAGGTGGAGTATGGAATGTTCTCCATTCCAGGTCCACTTCCCATAGTGCTGTGTGGCGACGGCGCCCCCGTCGCCATTCCAGGTCCACTTCCCATAGTGCTGTGAATTGTTTGTAGAATTGCATCTGACGTTTTTCCGGACCACAAACGTTGCTGCCCTCTGGAAATTTGCTGCTCGACTATGGAAAAGGAAAAAACAAAAACTGACCCTCGTCAGTGTGATGGTTGTGGCGGCTAGTGCGTGCGTGGGCGTTTTTTCAATAGTGTGGAAAGGAGGCTATCGAAAGAAGGCCATTGCAGGCGGACGTTCGATAGGGCCTATCGAATTCTAATTTCTGACACCTATCGAAGAATTTTGAAGCCTCAGTTTTCGATAGGATGTGTGGCCATGCAAAACTATCGAAAAAACGTAATTCGATAGTGGTGTGGGAGGCCCTAAAACCGAGTATTTCTGAATTGGCCGGGGGCCGGTCAGCTCAATGATGAAATCTCAAGGCCGTCGCCCTTTTTTTTTTTTTCATAAAAGAAATCTTCTCCGTATCGTTCCCCCGATCGGCATTGAGCAGAGTCTGCTGATGTTCGTAGGGGAGGGGACCTGAGGGGAGGCACAGGGATTGGTCCTGTTGGCATGGTTCCTGATGCTACGGGCTGTCCCCTAGCCGGTATCGCCCACCTGCAGGTCGGGAGCAGCCCCCGCATGTTCTCTCGTGAACACGGTTCTGGCTGCTACGGGGTTCCCCGTATGCCTACAATTGGGAGTAGTGGTAGGTAGGTAGTGTGAGGTGAAATTGAGAGAAGAGGATAGCTTTAAAAAAATAATAATAATAAAAAAAAATTAACGGATGTCCCAAAGGACGTTTTTGGTTTTTTCCTTTGGTTGGACAGCCGCACATTGTGCAGTTTTTTTTCTTGGGGGGGGGGGGGGGGGGGGGGGGGGGGGGGGGGGGGGGGGGGGGCCGCTGGCAAACATTGCCCAGTTCTCAGAGAGTAGGAAGTTGCTTCGCGATTTCTCGGTTTGTTTTTCTTTTTCTTGTTCTTTTTTTCTTGGAGGTCGACGCCGTACCTGTCTCGTTGTCGATTTTTTTTTTTTGGTTCTTTTTTTTTTAGCATCCCTGGATAGGTTAACTCGGACCACACTCACCGCAGTGCAACGGATTCGGATGCATCCGACCATAACTAGGGCACGCCGTTAACGTACGTATCCGACCACAACTACGGCACGCCGTGAGCGGTACGTATCCGACCAAAGCCGTGCACAGACTGGTCGAAATTGTCCCCACTCAAGGAATTTCAAAATCCCCCCCCCCTGTGCGCTAAACATGAGAATGAGGGGGCCGCGCCAATTGTGCGCTACTGAAGGGCTACTGAAGGGGGCCATAGCGGCGGTGGCGGCACCCCGTCGTCGGTGGCCGCTGTGTAGGACGCAACGTCAGGGTATGTGGGKGCTGATCTCTTCCACGAGGCGCCTACCCTGCCAGGCACCATATCTGTGTGAGAGCTATGGCAACAGTGCCCTGGCGTAGCCTAGCCCTTGAGTGGGTAGAGAGTGCCTTGCACTCTAACGCCAACGTAGGGCTATGTGGACGCTGATCTCTTCCACGAGGCACCTACCCTGCCAGGCACCATAGCTGTGTGAGAGCTATGGCAACAGTGCCCTGGTGTGGCTTAGCCCTTGAGTGGGTAGAGAGTGCCTTGCACTCTTACGGCATGGCATCCTGGCAGCTCGGTACCTGACCTCCATACCAACCTTCATACCTAACAAGATCTCGACACCAGCGGAGCCGTCCTCCCCTCAAGCCTTCTGCTGGAAAGGGGGGGCTCCTGTGACGCGCAACCTCACACCCTGTGCTATCTTCCCTTCGGAGTGTTAACTGTGCGGAAAAGAGGCCCAGAAAAACAGCAAGAAGGGGTGTGCCAAGGATTTTTGGAAATTGAGTGTGGGGACACAGACAGAACTGAAATCCCCTGTGTTGGTCCGATGAAGCAAGTCGATTAGTTTCGCGCGTCGCAGAATGCGCGCGTGGACTTAGCGCGAAAACAGAAAGATCTAAAATTCAATCCAAAAAGTATTGTCGGGCTTCCCACCGAGCTACGGCTCGTTGTTTAGAACGGAAAGGCTCTGGCACGCTTCGTGTGTCTCGTTTTCGTATCAGATCTCGTCGTCGTTCATGGGTCAGTTCTGAGTCCGACGTGGATGGTCTCAACCGAGTGGCTCTTTTATGCTCGTCCTCACTTCGTATTCGATAGTGGAAGCCCCTTGCTTCGGAGCGATTGAAACGCTGGCACTCCGTGCACAGAATGCGGGGCCAATGGGGTGCCACGATCGTCCATGGAATGACGATCAGCTCGTTAAATGGCAACAATATCAAGTAGGGTGGAAAGTGCGTATCGATAATGACAAATCCAGCGTTGACGAACCCAGAACAACGGTTGGCCGGAGGGAAGTAGTACTGGCCGCCGATTTGTGCGACGGCTTCTCGTACGTCCCACTCACATACACGTGTCCTTTCCTTACTGTAGGGAAAAGGTCGCGTTGGGATGGGAGATACGGGAGGCTGACGCCCAATCGAGGGGTGTTTGTCAGTCCACATATCAATCAATCATACATATATATATCCAAGGACATCATTACGAGTGAAAATCATTCATGCGACCCTCAATCTACCCTTCTTGACACACGAGGGAGTAAACACACATCCGCTGGTTGGTTTCCGACGCCTTGTTTCTCAAGGTCGCCTGGTGGTGTGGTTGTTGACATCGTGCCGCGTAAGGCAGATGGCATGCGCAGTGCGTTCGGGACTATGGATCTAAACACTCTTGTATTCTCGAACAAAATCCCGACGACATTCGTCTAATCAATTCGAAAAGTCAGACATCTCTATACATGCATTCACTGCGGAAGGTGCGAAAATGAGACATTCACGGGAAAAGTTGAATCCCATTGCACAGTACATACGCATCCACCGTTCACAAGATAAGTAGACGGGGTCCTTGCGTAGGAGGATTATCCAGGAAACTAATGGAAGAGTTCCGGAAGAAGTTCTTTTACGCCGAAACAGGAGGCCGACTCATTCC